CTCACCCCCACCCCTTCTGTGAAATGCTGTCACACTATTATACCATAAAACTTAACAGAGGGGAGCTTTTTACTGGGCATTGCTACCCAAGTGCTCTGGAGAACACAGCCAACGTTTATGTTATCATTAACAAAGCCGGGGAATGAGTGCATGTAACTGCATTTCCAGCAAAGGCAGATAAACTTGGCAACTTCCACGGGACTACAACTGGCTGTTCGTATCTGACACTAGCGTTAATGCAGCCGAATGGCCCTCAGCTGAATTCAGTTCTCCGGGCTGCGAGGACAAGAGCTGAGTGGTGGCCTTCTGTGCTCAGTTCATTGCTTGGCCTTCCAGTCTCTCTTTCTTAGGCTGTAAAGGATGACATGGTCGTAGTTTGTCGAAGAGAAGAAACAAAACTGCCTTAGGAATAAGAAGGAGTGGGGTGCCAGCTCTACAAGCCAGACTGTTCTTTTGTGTCTTCCGTAATTTCCCCTCTCGTTCTACCCTTCCTGTTCCCAAAATACCTGTGACGATTACGGACACACTAGGTAGTAGGTAAATACAATTGATTCTCGTTGAATTGTGGTAGTTATGTTCTAGAAAGTTGCCAGGAACACTGAATTGGCCAATACTGAACCACTGCTCTTAGGGGAGAACACACACACACAGACACACACACACACACACACACACACACACACACACCCCTCACATAGATGATATAATCTTAAATCCTGAAAGCAAACCGTCGCGGTAGATTCTATTGTGTTTAGTTTATGAAAGAGGAAAGGAACTTCCAAAGTGTGAACTGCCTTGCCCGGGGCTGGCCCACTAGCACGTGCCAGAATTGGGACTCCCAGCCCATCCATCTGGCCCCAGAGCCAGACCTTCTTACACTGCACTGCACGACTCCTATTGTCTCCATCCTTGGATTACAGAAGAGCTGAAACAAGAAGGCCGAGCGTGTCCTCCTTCAACCTCAGCCGGGTGCCGGCGGGGTGACTCACGTTTTTCTCATGCCGTGAGCGTGTCTGACATGATTGCGGAAAGGCCACAGGTATTGACTTGGGGTTCCAGATTGGTTTTTAAATTTTAGCGAGGGCACAAGTCGCAGCTACGGAATCTGTGAATGATGAAGATACGCTGTAGAATTTGTGAGGAGGTCTCTGTTAAAAGCAGAGTTGGGGGTACCAGCAAACACCTTTTCTCTTTGGCTGGTTCCTTTTCACCCCTTAAAAGACTTGTCAGAGAGTTCTTGACTGACCTTCAATAAAATGGACCCTACTCTCAGCCATGTTCAATCACATCACCTTCCGTAATTTCCTCTATGTACGTGTCATGAGCCAAAAGTGTTGTTCATTTCTTGACTTGTTCAGCCTGTTCCCCTACATTTATATGTAAACTCTGTGACAGTGTGAACTTTGTCTGTCTCTGGGAGCCCAGTTGCTATCATTCAAATGAATAAATGATTAGATAGATGGACGAACCAATAGTTGTATTTAGGCCTTTCAAAGTGAAGGCTGCAAGTGTTTTATAGAATAGACTTGAGCTTGCATGACATTGGCTTTGCCGCTTGCAGCCTCAGATGAGGCGTTAGGGCCTAGAAACTAGGATAATAACACCTGAAAGAAGAAATAAATTCTGACAGAATTGAGATGAGATCTCACTTTAGAAGAATTACTTTAGAGTATTTCGCAAAGAGGTGAAGTCAGCACTAAGAACTAGAAACGATGAGGGGGAATGATTTGTTTCAAGGTGAGAAAGGAAGCTGTAAGTCCAGATGTAGAGAGGACACGAGCTGAGCACATGGGTGAGGCCAAGACAGAGATGAGGTCAAAGTAACTTGACTTTCTTCTCATGTGACATTTACTCGTGAGTATAATTGAGATGAGAAGAAAAGCTTGCAGTGAGGAGACTGGAATGGGAAGAGGCCTAATTGTAAGCTACATTTTGTCCTCCAGTGTCAAAGGCTCTGAAGGAGAAGTGCCCTATTTCCAGTGTGGTCCAGAGGTGGGACGCAGGAGTCCCCTACCACTGGCCATCATTCCTAGTTATCTCCATTCCACTCTTGTCTTTAGGTGAGGGACCGAGAAGGTCGATGTAGAGGTCTATGATAGAAGGTTGGAGGCTTGTTTCTTTCATCCTTAGATTGGCTCTACTTAAAGCACTTCCATTACCCTTAGTGATTCTGAATCAAAAGACGTGAATCAGAAATTGAAGGCTGAAATCGTAACCCAGAGCTGCCAGCTTCCAAGCCAAACCCGGGAACTGGAAACACCTGAACACACTGTGAGCAACCAGTAAACCCATATTTGGATTAATAGCCCATATAAGAAATGCAATCCAATCAAATCATTAACTTCTTTTAAGTGACACATAAAACAGCAAAACTGTGGAAAATTTCTTTGTAGTGGAAGAATTTTAGAAATACGGGATAGCATTCAACTTCTTTTATTGTACCTTTTGCAATATAAGAATGCTAGAGTTACAAAAATTTGGAAGCTTCATCAAAGTATAAAAAGAGATTCAACTTCCCTGGTTTCAAAGGAAAGTCAACACTGTGTTTTTTGAAAGATCTAAGGAAAATACTTGGCCTAAAATGAATGCATCATGTTTCCAAATTTCTGGGAATTTGTATTTTCGAGCAATGGTGGTTGTGGTATCAACGTTCTCAAAACATATTTTGGCTCAACAAAGTGGATTTTAGTCTACTTTTTTTATAAAAACAAATCTACCCATCATAAATATCAAATGGTCAGAATTTGGATTAAATGGACTCCATGTTATGATGGCAGTTGGGACACCCTTCCTCCCATAGAGTAACCCAGATCCCAGTGATCTTGAGAGTGAAATGGATCCCAAACTAAATCACAGTCTATTAACAAAGCTACTTCTCAATGCAGACAATACTACTTCAGATTTGTCTGTGACTTCACAGCATTAGTTATTTCCTCAGATATTAGTTCCTGTATTTACCACAATAATCCCACATGGCTGAGACAGCAGATACCATTCACCTCATTTTATAAAATAGCATGACCCTCCCCTGCTCATGCTGTCTCTCTCTCTCCTAAAAATAAATAAAACATTAAAAAAAAAAAAAGAAAACTTTTGCACTTCAAAGGGCATCATTAAGAAAATGAAAAAAAACTTGGGAGAGATGCCTCATTCCACACAACAGCCAGAGATCCCTGCCTTTATGGAGCTCACATCCTATTAGATTTACCTTGATTGTATTCTCAAGTATAATTTCGCTCTTGGGCTCATTCTAGAAGATACTTTTCTTTTTTTTTTTTATTGTTTACTTATTTCTGAGAGAGCATGAGCGGAGATGGGGCAGAGAGAGAGGGAGACACAGAATCTGAAGCAGGCTCCAGGCGCCGAGCTCTCAGCACAGAGCCCGATGCAGGGCTCGAATTCACGAACTGTGAGATCATGACCTGAGCTGAAGTCAGACGCTTAACCAACTGAGCCACCCAGGCACACCTCTCAAAGACACTTTTCGAGTGTAAGGTGCCACTTTCCAGAAATTTCACTCTCTCCATCATAATGTGCCCATGGTTTCAATATGATTCCATCCTTTTCACAGCTCAGTTGTAGCCAATTATTAAATTCAGTTTGAGGTCAAAAGGAAAGACAAGAAATTTCTCAAGAGTAGTGGCATTTTGAGTAAATATGTCTATAGATAGCTAACTTCATTTGCGAACCCTGAAGAGGAGCTAGAAATGACAACATAAAAGTAATGGTAAGAGAAACTGAGTCCAGTGATGAACTTCCTTGAAATACTAGCCTAAGTTCCACATTCTGTATTCATCCATCAAAGCATCTTTTAATTTTTTCTTTTGTTCATTAAACATTTAGCCAACATGTTTGCATGCTAATCTGACATAGGACCTGATCTTGGAGTTTGCTGCTAATGGCCAGTGGCCATGATCTTCTCAATAAGAAGATGTCTTGAGTAGTCTCTCTGCTGTTCCTTTGAACAGCCATCAATGGATATTTATCCTGAACTTCTGACCCTACTTCCAGTTTATCTCATTCATAGAGAATGGAATTACTCCAGTTAAATAAAGTATCCCAAATCAAAAGGGCTTAATGACTGGGCCATGTCTCCTTTCTGAGACATGCTAGAGTCATCAATGATGCCATTGTCATTCTCTGTAACACTGCAACTTCTGTGCTGTGTTAAAATCATAAAACTCAAGCATGCTATCTCCATTTCCCACAGCTGTGATTTCTGGGCCTCTGTTTGCGAATAAGCATTTCGGGATTGTGCAGAGGTAGAGGAAATAGCATGTGCAGAGTATTTCCCAAGCCCAGTTGCCAAGAATGAGCTAATTGTGTTCATGGTAGAATCTTGGTCTTTCAGAAGTATATCAGAAGTAAAATTTTAAATTATGCCATAAGACTAATAAAATATCCAACCACCCTCTTTCTCTCTTGATGTTTTCATAGCGATTAAATACAAAGTTGATGTCTGTAGTTAAAAGAAAAATAATAATATGATTTTATTAAAATAAAAAAATAATATTATTTTATAATAATAAAATGATATAATCTCGCTACCTTGCTTTTGGGAAATGTGTCCAATGGACGTTAATAGTCATCTATCCTCCATAAAGGAATAATGTTAGTTCTTTTTCAGCTTACTTTTTATGTCTAATAGGCCAACATTACACTTTCTTTCAAGATATAAAAGAAGGAATTGCAAAATATATCTCAAGTGTCCATTTCCAACTAATCGGTAATAGCTATGTGTATGTTGTGTTAAGAAAGATTCTGAGGCTGAGTATGGCTTAACAGAAAAGACTGCTGTCATTGGATAACAGTGTTTTCCAAGGATGTAAGGTAGGGAGTAGACATGCAAGTCCTCTATTTTCCATCTCTGTATGATCGGAAAAAGTTATCGTTTAAAGTATCTTTTTAGTGATTACCAGAAACGTAGTAGTCTACATTAAAGAGCATTTAACTAAAAACAAAGGCCACATTAAATGCTTACCATTCTATCTATCCTTTAGGTCAATGCATCACGTCAAGAAGCTAAATTGATGGAGGAGTGTGATCTTCTCATTGAGATCATTCAGCAAAGACGACAAATTATCGGAACCAAGATCAAAGAAGGGAAGGTATGATTCCTAGGGCAGAAGATACCATAGTCTCTAACTGGAGAAAGTATCATACTCCCACGCATTTCACTAGCTTAGGAAATATTGAATACCCCTTTTTCTATATTTTCTATAATCTCCTCTTATGTCTTGCAAACATAGCTCAAAGCCCCTTGGTTGACCTTTTTTTCTCCACCCCTTTGTATAATCATGGTCTCCTATGCACATCTGTAATACAAGGATTACATTACATTACCTCTGCTCCATTATCGAACTCCATGGAGCAGTATGGACCTCTGGTCTGTTATGGCCATTGTTTTCATCTCTCTTCTCTCTGAGAAGGTGAGTTCCACAGAGGAAGAGTTCATTTCGTATTTATCACTATATCCTAGCAATTATCACAGCATTAAGTAAATGTGTAAATGAATCGGATCTTATATAGAGATTGCGAAGTGTTTTCCCACGCCGTTGAGCGAATTCAGGCAGGTATAATTTCGTGGTGACAAAACTCCTACAGTTTCACTATATCATACATCCCTGTGTGGATATATGAATAGTAATTCTTTTCTAATGTTTCTACATTTAAGATTCCTATGGTTTTTATTGAAACACTTAGGATCCATTTTATTTTACCCATTTCTCTGCCACCCTCAGAAAGTAATTTTGTAAATATTTTAAAAACAGAAACATTCATTCAAGATTCGATTATTACTGCTCATAACCATACTTAATGAAATATGTATAGTTAGATTAAATTAGCAACAAATAAGTGGTACACAGAGGGAACAATAACTGACGTATGTGCTCTTCTCTGTTTATACAAAATTGAAAAGGTACTTTCAATATTGTGTTGTGTTTTAGATTACTTTGTCTATAGAGGTTGAAAACTATACATGTAAATTGTGATGATGATCAGAAAAGCCAAAGTCCAATCAAATCAAATCATTTTGAAGCTGTTTACAGTGAATTAACAAATTAGTATGAAATCAGTCCCTGGCCAAGAACTGACTCAGGTGTGTTGAGAAGCGACTTTTCCCCACATACAAATGGTACAACTTGGCGTCAGGCCAGAATCCTCACAGGATATATTTCCCCTTCCATTATCATGTGCCACATCTGTACATCTCTAACTACCTGACGTCTTCCAGGTCCTCAGACATCCGAGTGCCTGAAATACAGCTGCAATTAATTAATATGCACATGAGGGGTCATTTGTCACCTTTACATGGTTTGGGGATCGGCTCTCAATGCTCATAGTAGTTTCCTGTTGCTGCTGTAACAAATTACTGCAGATTTGGGTGGCTTAAAACAACGTGGATTTAGTATCTGACCTTCTGGAGGTCAGGAGTCCAAAATCAGTGTCACTGGCCTTACAGTCAAGGTTTTGGCAGTGCTGTTTCTTTCTGGAGGCTCTAAGGCAGAATCCATTCATTGCCATTTCTGGCTCTTAGCGGCCACCCGCATTCCTTGTCTCCTGGTTTCTTTATCACATCATTCTGTGACCTTTGCGTCCCTCCTCAAGTCTCCTTCTCTGACACAGCCTTTCCTGGTCCTCTCTTCTAAGGACCTTTCTAATTACATTGGGATCACTCAGATCATCCAGGAAAATATGCCCTCTCTCAAGATCCCTGCCTTAATCAGATGTGCAGTGTCTGCTGTGTCATCTAAGGTGCCATAGTTTAAAAACTCCTGGGATTAGTACGAGAGCGTCTTCGTGGGGCCCTTATTCAGCCCGGCCAGCACGACTTTCCCTTGCTTAACTTCCCAGCGTGACGCTCTCTCTCATGAGCCAGATCAAAATAGTGAAGGGGTGTCCCCAGCTCTGGCCCTGGTGATGCATGGCGTTCGTGCTTTGGTGCACCTGCTCCACTCCAAACACGTGGCGGTGACGAGAGAACATAGCAAAGCAGGGAAGCAAAGAGACACAGCTGGACCCAAAACAAGAGAAAGGTCACCACGGGCCAGAAATGGGACAAACCTGCAAAGCCGTGGCTATGGCTGGAACACAGGCTAGCGGAGACTTGGTCTGGAAAAGACCAGAGCACCTTCAAGTCCAATGGAGAAATAGTTCTCGAAGCCCATGGCTGAAGGAGCTAGACGTGCTCTGGGTGGTACGGGGGACTGAAATCAGGCTCATTGGTTAATGCCACGGGCTGTATAAGGCTTCTGAGTTCATTAAAAGGCACTGAAAAGGATTCTTGCCAACCTCTGCCTACAGTCATAGTTGTTAGCCAACTTCAGGCCTGGGAGTCCGAAACAAGTCGGTTGCCTGGTTAGAGCCTGGCTCTGTGCTACTTCTGACACCCATATAGAAGAGAAGCTTCAGAAAGACAGAGGTTATACCAGGTTCCCGAATGAGGACCCGGCAGGTGAGGTGAGGCGGGGTGGGCTGAGCCAGGAGGGTGAAGGAGGAAGGGACTGTGGATAACTTCTTCCCTTTAAATCTGAAACTCAAACCACAGTTCTGGAGCATACAAAGGAATCTTGCATTTCCAAAAATATAGCCAACAAACTCAGCAAAGACATTACCTCACCCCAGGTGAAATTCATTTTATGGGAAAATCTTAAAAAGATGTTTAAAGAAATAAATGAAGGAGGGGCGCCTTGGCTCAGTTGGTTGAGCATCCGACTTTGGCTTGGCTCATGATCTCACGGGTCGTGGGTTCGAGCCCTGCATCGAGCTCTGTGCTGACAGCTCAGCCTGGAGCCTGCTTCGGATTCTGTGTCTCCCTCTCTCTCTGACCCTCCCCTGCTCACGCTCGGTCTCTCTCTGGCTCTCAAAAATAAATAAACACTAAAAATATGTTTAAAAAAAGAAAGAAATGAAGGAATAGCTTTGATTTTAAAAGAGCAACAACTTGTGAAACCACAAAAGGATGGAAAATGAGAAAGAAATAGGAAGAAAACAAGTTAGCAGTTTGGGAGGTAAAAATGTAGGCACTGAAACTACAAAGAAAACTTGGCCACCGGGGGAGTTTGGAAACTGAGTTTTAGCCTCCCGGTAGGAAAAGAGATCCTCATGTAAGAATATGAAATTCGAGAAATCTGGCCATGTGTAGCAACATGGATGGACCTTGAGGGTGTTATGCTGAGCGAAATAAGTCAGGCAGAGAAGGACAAATATCCTATGTTTGCACGTATAGGAGGATAAGGAGGAACTTGACGGAGGAACAAGCGGGAGAAGAAGGGCGGAAATGGTGGGGGAAAGGGAGAGAGGCAAACCATGAGAGACTCTTGAATGCTGACAAAAACTGAGGACTGATGGATGTGGGGGGGAGGGGGGGATGGGCATGGAGGAGGGCACTTTGGGGATGAGCACTGAGTGTTATGTAGAAACTAATTTGACAATAAACTATTTGTAAAAAAAAAAAAAAAAAAGAATATGAAATTCGATCCATATTTCATGCCATCCACAAAAATTAAATCTAAATGGATCATATACCTAATGTGAAAGACAGCAGCAGGATAAAACTTGGAGGTGCCTGTTTGCCTCAGTCGGAGAGGCATAAGCGACTCTTGATCTCAGCGTCGTGAGTTCAAGACTCACGTTGGGTGGAGTGATTACTTAACAATAAAAAACCTTCTTAGGTTTTAAAAAACCTTAGAAGAACCTTCTAGAAGAAAGCATGGGAGGAAATCCTGGCGAACCTTGGGTTGAGCAAAGGTTGGTTTATATACAATGAGAAAAGCATCAATGAAATCTTCACAAATTAAACATAATTATTAGATTGTATTTCATCAAAAGTAAAAACTTCTCTTTAAAAGGCACTGTCAAGAGAATGTAAAGACAAGCCACAGATTGGGGACAAATACTTATAATTTGTTTATCTAAATAAAAAAGTATTTCTATGCAGATATGGAACAAATTCTCAAAACTCATTAGTAAGAAAACAAACCTTGGCCAACACAGATGAAAGATCGGAATAGGTACCCTACAGAGGGAGATGTGTGGATGGCACGTAAGCACATGAGGAGATGTTCAAAATCATGAGTCATTAAGGAAGTCATCAAGAGAAGTCACTGAGGCAAGTTAGAACCTTGGTGAGATGCCCTTCTTACCTAGTAGAACAGTTAAAATTAAACAGCTGGACCATGCCAAGTATTGTTGAGAATGTGGAGGAACGGGAATTCTCACATGCTGTTTATAAGAATGAAACAGTGCATTTTGGAGAACTGTCAGTTTCTTTTTTTTTTAAATTTTTTAATGTTTATTTAGTTTTGAGAGAGAGAGAAAAAGACAGACAGACAGAGTGCAAGTGGGGGAGGGGCAGAAAGAGACACACACAGAATCCGAAACAGGCTGTAGGCTCTGAGCTGTCAGCACAGAGCCCGATGGCGGGACTCAAAGTTACGAACCCCGAGATCATGACCTGAGCCGAAGTCGGACACTCAACCGACCGAGCCACCCAGGTGCCCTGACAATTTCTTTTTCTTTTTTAATGTTTATTTATTTATTTTTGAAAGAGAGAGTGTGTGTGTGTGTGTGCGCACGCGTGTGCATGCACGTGAGCAGGGGAGGGGCAGAGAGAGAAAGAGCGAGAATCCCAAGCAGGCTCCATGCTGTCAACACAGAGCTCAATTTGGGGCTGGAACCCATGAACAGCGAGATCATGACCTGAGCCAGAATCAAGAGTCAGACACTCAACCAACTGAGCCACCCAAGCACCCCGAACTGACAGTTTCTTAAGTAGTTAAACATATACTTAGTATATGCATGGTCCGGCCATTCTAGGTGTTCCCCAAGAGAAATGAAAGCATATGTCCCTGTAAGACGTGTACTTGAATTTTCATGTGAGTGTGAAGGGTAATAGCCCCAAACTGGAAATGACCCAAATGTCTATCCATAGATGAAGAAACAATTTGTGCTACGTCCATAATGGATACTATTCAGCAAGAAAAAAGAACAAGCTACTGGTACATGCCACAACACTGGTGAATCTCAATATTAATTATGGGGAATAGGGGGGCAGCTGGGGGTTAAGCTCCAACTCTCAGTTTTGGCTCAGGTCAAAATCTCACAG